CCAAAAATTAATTTGGATAATGCAGATCCATTTCTGAATACAGGAACCATTTATTTGCATGAGTATTTTTTCCCTCCAAAATTTGTTGTTGTTGACAGGATCTCAGCTTGCAAATCTGACTGGCCTGGAACTTGATACATAGACTAGGCTGGCCTTGAATTCACAGATCTGCCTCTTTGAGTGCTGGGATTAAAGTTGTATGCCACCATTCCTGGTTCCTTCTAAGATTCTTGAGGGCCGTGGATGGAGGCAATGTCACTGTATTCATTTTCATTGCATATGATCAAAAAAAAAAATCTAGTAATTGGCATGGGGTAGGGAATGTCATAGTACCTTAGGAATTTAGTATTATTTTTCTAACTTTGAGAATTTATGGTATTGAATGATTAACAAAGTCATGCCATGAGAATTTTAGTTTCCCGAGATACTATAAGTTATTTGACATTAAATTATGGCCTCGTATGTGAATAATATTCTCATCGTTGGGTTGTTTTCTTAACTCATGTTGGCTACAAGTAGTTTGTTACTCTGACCTAACTTTCGTAACCATTATTTATAAGTATTCTGTCATCTTTTTAAAAGGACATAAATACGTGTTTTATTTTTAGGGTCCACCGAAATACACAAAATCTGTTCTAAAAAAGGGAGATAAAACCAACTTTCCTAAAAAGGGAGACGTTGTTCACTGCTGGTATACAGGGACACTCCCAGATGGAACTGTTTTTGACACTAATATTCAAACAAGTAAGTCTTATCGTTTGTGCACTAGATAGATAAGCAAAAGGTCATTCTTTTTTCTTTGCTATTTTCCCTGATATCTTTTGTACCAAGATTTTCTTGGTGGTGGTCTACCATTCATGGGTTGTTGGCTGGCTAATCTTGATCATTTGGGAAGCAAAGGATGTGGAACTTGAAAGCTTTATGTCTGTTTTCAAACTCTTGAGACTTACTAAAGAGGTTTAGCGTGGCTGTTAGTTGTGGCACTCCGAGAACACAGTGGAAGTGGCATCTGCTCCGCTCCCGGTGTCAAGTGCTGTCTGTCCTAAGAAACTGTCCATGATTGAGGGAGGTCAGTGCTCCGCTTGCTTTGCTAATAGTCTGTTCTGCATTTAACAACTAAGCACCACAGGAGTGAGGAACTTGTTCCTATTTAAAACAGTATTCATTCCCTTTATGCATCTAGTGACCTCTTAAGGTTCCCTTAAACTTGCAACACTGCGACATGGGGGACCAAGCCTCAGTATCAGGTTAGTAGGAAAAGCAATATTCTAACCTAGCAGTGTCCCAGAATGCTTTTGTAAAAACAGAAAATAAAAATAATCCCAGCACTCTGGAGACAAAAGGCAGGAAATTCACTGTAAGTTCAGGGTCTAAGTAGTGAGTTCTAGGGCAGCTATACAGTGAGATTCTGACTCAAAGAAGTCAATATAGCTTGTTATTTAGTGGTCCAGATCCTCTGCTTTCAGGTTGTGTTCATCTTGAGGCTATATGCAGTTATAGGTAGCTATGTATGTATGTGGTACAACAGTCAATCACATACTTCAAACATGTTTTAAGGTTTCTTTTATAACTTTGTTGGGCAGTTTTTAAATACTTTAATAATACAGTTTAGAAGGTAATTAAAACTATAGTATGTGATTAAAAGGTAAATCTGTTTTGCAGGTTCAAAGAAGAAGAAAAATGCCAAGCCTTTAAGCTTCAAGGTTGGAGTAGGCAAGGTTATCAGAGGAGTAAGTAAATAAAGATGGCAAATGAATCTCTAGGTATTCTAACAGGATTGTTGTGTAGGCTCTTAAAAAGTTTGGATTGTGGGGATGGATGGGGAGCAGCTTTGTGATAGAACACTTAAGTAGTATATACAGGGTCCTAGCTAGGTTAGATTCTGAACATATCTTCATTATTATTATTATTATTATTATTATTATTATTATTATTATTAATTATTTAGGTTTTTCGAGACAGGGTTTCCCTGTGTAGCTTTGCGCCTTTCCTGGAACTCACTTGGTAGCCCAGGCTGGCCTCAAACTTACAGAGCTCCGCCTGGCTCTGCCTCCCAAGTGCTGGGATTAAAGGCGTGTGCCTGTCCTGCCAGCAGCCGCCGCCACCCAGCTCATTATTATTCTTTTGCTGTGAATTGACACCATGACCCAGGCAGCTCTTATAATTGGAGGCTTGTGTACAGTTTCAGAGGCTAACTTAGTCCATTAATGTCATGGTAGGAAACATGAAGGCATGGTGCTGGAAAAGAAGCTGAGAGCTTTACATCCAGAACTGCAGGCACCAGGCAGAGACACAGAGACACTGGGCCTGGCATGTCCCAGCAGCAACACACCTCCTTGAACAAAACCACACTCTTCGCCCTCCCCCAACCTCCCCCACCAACAGGGTTTCTCTGTTTATCAGCTCTGACAGTCCTGGAACTGACTTTGTAGACCAGGCTAGCCTCTAACCCAGAGAGATTCACCTGCCTCTGGCTCCCAAACGCTGGGATTAAAGGTGTGCACCACACCTGGTAAATCCACACTTCCTTCCCAATCCTTCAAAGCAGTTTATCAAATGGGGACTAAGCACTCAAGTATATGAGCCTATGGGGGCATTATCATTCAAACCACCAAAACATACAAAAAACATGGTGTAAAAATCCAAGAATTAGGGTTGGAGATATAAGGAAAATAATCTAAGTCAGAAAGACTTTGTAGTATCCTTGCTGGCTGACCTGGTTACAAGTTTTCTAGGTGTCAATTTCCCCATTATAAAGTAAGAATCCTGGGCCAGGCATGCTTGTTCACACCTTTCATCCAAGCACTCCAAGCAGATGTAGCTAGATCTGTGGAGGCTTCAGCCAGGGCTACATAGAGACCCTATCTGAACAAATACACAATATTGGCAAACTCCAGAGCTATAAGCTTTAGGGAGTATAATTTAATATAATGGGGACTCATACAGTAGTTTCTATGTATCAGCTTATTTTGAAAGTTAATCCTGTCAGAAAACAGCCTTTCACATTTAATATTTTCTTTTTTATTAGAAAATTTTTTTTTTTTTTAATTTTACATACCAATCCCAGTTCCTCCTCCCCTCTCTCCTCCCACACTCCCTCTCAGGGAGGGTAAGGCCTCCCTTGGGGAATCAACAAAGTCAACAAAGTTGAGGCAGGATCAAGCCCCCCCCACACACACACACTCCACACACACCCTCCCTCTACACCCCCACCCCTCCGGTGTGGTGTCAAGGCTGAGGAAGGTGTCCCACCCTAGGGAATGTGTTTCCAGAAGCCATTTTGAGGTAAGTCCTGGTCCCGCTGCCAGGAGCTCCCCAAACAGATCTAGCCACATAACTTTCACCCACATTCAGAGGGCCTAGTTCAGTCCCAGACATAACGTTTTTTGGCACATATAATGAAGAAATCTATTCTACTGAAGTACTTGTAGAAAGAGCAATTGATTTCTTCTAAAAATCTTTGAGACATCAACATGCTTTTATTTCTCATAAGTAAACCTTAAGAAGTTAGCCTTGGGCGTTGGTGGCGCACGCCTTTAATCCCAGCACTCGGGAGGCAGAGGCAGGCGGATCTCTGTGAGTTCGAGGCCAGCCTGGGCTACCAAGTGAGCTCCA